CTGCAGCATCACCTTGTGAGCTGAGCAGAACTGATCTGCTTTAATGAGAGAGATCATCTAGCCCCAACCCCCTGCCAAGGGCAGGGACATCTTCCACCAAATCAGGTTGCCCAAGGCTTTATCCACCCTGGCCTTGAACACTGCCAGGGTTGGGGCATCCATAACCTCCCTGGGCAACCTGTGCCATTGTCCTACCACTCTCATGTTTCCAGGTGTAGGTCCTCCTGCACGGAGAAATACAAAAGGCAAGATGACTTTCCCCTGTGGACGGGTCTTAATTAATTCTTTGGCCATGAAGGAGCTCAGCAGGAGAGCTCGACTGTGACAGATGAGGAGGGGGGGACATCAGATGAGGGGGACAAGGTGTTGCTTGTGGCATTCTTTGGAGACTTTTGAGTGACCCCAGTGAGCATTATGCTTTTGTAGGGGGAAGGAGGTGTGTAAGGGTACCCTTTGGGTGTCTTCTCCACAAAAAGAAATGAAAGAAATGTGTTTTGAAGTTCTTGTATTCACTATTGTAAGCATAAAGGAACTGTGGAAAAACAGTATCTGCTTCTATAAGAAATTCATGCGGAAGAATTCTGATTCCAAAATAGATGACATGAACTCTAAGATTGTCATTTGAAGCTATTATTCTAATGGCACAAACCAATCTGGCCTTTGCTTCATGTCCATGTGTCTATGATTTGCATGGTATGGAAGGGCATCTCAGGCATGAAGAAGCTGCAGCAAGATGAGGGAGAGGGGGCTGTGAGGATGGAAGGGGAGACTGTCAGATCAATGGGGGCACTGATAAATGCACATATTTTGGTATGGATGCAAAGCCAGACATGTATTGGTTTGATTTTCTGATTTTATTTCATTTTGAAATGAGAAGGAAAAAATTCAAAACATGGTTTTCCTGCAAGATTTTATAGAATCACAGAATAGGTTGGGTTGGAAGGGACCTTAAAGATCATCACATTCCATCCCCCTGCCATGGGCAGGGACACCTTCCACTGGACCAAGCTGCTCCAAGCCCCATCCAACCTGGCCTGGAACACTTCCAGGGATGCCACAGCTTCTCTGTGCAACCTGTGTCAGTGCCTCACCACCCTCACAGGGAAGAATTTCTTCCCCATGTCCCATCTAGCCCTGCCCTCTGGCAGTGTGAGGCCATTCCCCCTTGTCCTGTCCCTCCAAGCCCTTGTAAATAGTATCTCTCCAGCTCTCTTGTAGGCTTCCTTAAAGGAGAGTGGTCTGAACTGCTGGGATGGAGAGGGGCTGCAGAAAGGGTCTGACATCCCCAAAGGCAAGGTGGAGTAATTTAAGGGCAATAATGAGCATTAGGTCTGGCTGACCTACAAGTTGGGCATGGTAAGGATTTGGGGGTTTGTATTCATCAGCAGTTCTTTTCCTGGCTCAGAAATCCCCAGCTATGTCTGGAAAACCGGTGCTCAGAGCCTGCAGCTTCTTCTGCTTGATGTAATTCTTATTTATTTTTTTGCTTCATATGAAACCAAGATGAAGGTTTGGAGCAGGAAACGCATTATGGGAATGCAGTACCTTGTAAATGGCAGCTGCATGACCCTCTGGATATTAGGATAATGCCATTGCTGCAGATAACAAATAATATTAGCTGGAAATGGTTTCTAACTGTTAGGCAAAATTATTATACTGTCAGATGTGATGAATGAGGGAACTGGAGAAGAGTTTAGCATCCCAATGTGGCAGTTAAATTCTGTGATGTTATTTTGCATGCTGGTTGCAAACCTCTCTAACCTTGCCCTAGGACAAAGGTGTTAGGAGTCAGTTGAGGTATTTGCTTCCCTCTTGAGCGGCCAACAGCATTTCCAGGTGAAGAAATCCAGTTTCTCAAAGTGAAGGAACAGGTCACACTGTACAAGGGGAAAACTCTGTTACAAAGCTATGTAAAATCCTTTGAGTGGGTTTTCTTCTTTTATATAGTCATGCTGGCAATGAGGGGCTGTGCTTGGGCTCTTCCCCTCACTGCAGGCACCTCTCCTACTCAGGAGCTCCTAGGAAGGTCTCCTCTTCCTTGAGGCTAATGTCCCAGTGATACTGCAACATGCAAGGGTGGACAGAAGTCCCAGTCGCAACTTTATATTAATAATTTCTTGTGATGCATCTGCTGGAATGATGTCTCCTGCTTGCAGCTCCTTTGAAGCATCCAGAGGAGACATCCGTGACTTGAGGGAGGTTTATTCCTTTATAATCATAGAATCACAGAATCCATAAGATTAGAAAAGCCCTCTGAGATCAGAGTCCAACCCTTTCTGCTGCCATAAAAATCCCATGGTGGTCTTGTGTGATGGCTCTGAACTGTAAGGCACAGTGGGCCACAGTCACTGCGGCCACGGGGTGAGATGCTGATCCACACTAACAGCATCTCTCCACCTCTTCCAACCCCTATGGGCAAAATGGGGCAAGAAAGCCAAGAAAATTAACATCACCTGCCACTTCTTTGAAGGCTGCCCAGGGCAATGGTGAAGTCCCCATCCCTGGAGGGATTTAAAAGTCATGTGGATGTGGCACTTGGGGACATAGTTTAGTGGTGGCCTTGGCAGTGCTGTGGGAATGGCTGGACTCAATAGTCTCAGAAGGCTTTTCCAACCCAAATAGTTCTAGGACTCTATACCCTCAAGGGCTGGGGGACACCCCTTCACAATTCCAGGCTCTGCACAACTCCAGTTTCAATGTGCTGGCTGCTTCCTATCCTCAGGGCACTTGGAAACATCCATGCAATCCAAATAATAGCTAAAATTCATATATATAGGGCTTTCCCCCCAGGAACACTCGTCTCTGAGAAATGACTTGTGGAGAAGAGTTAAATAATCCTGTATATATCAGGAGGGGAGTGCTGGAAGCATTGGGTAGTGTTAATCTCTGTTTGATGATGGTGCAGCCAATACAGGATTATTAAGTTGAGTTTTTATGATTACACTTTAAGAAAAATGTTAAAGCATAAAGAGGGTTGAGAGAAAAATCCTAAGAATGGCTAAAAGTTTGGAAAATGTGTATTACAGTGAGAGTCTCTGGGCACTCATTTCAGAGGGAAGAGTTGGATCATCATATGTGAATTTACATGGGCAACAGGGATCTGGTGTCAGACAGAAAATAAAAGATCTCATGGTGGGAAATGAGTAACACTGAAGTGGAAATAATTTTTTAACAGTGAGAAGAGTACAAAAAGAACATTTTGCTGATTGTTATGAACAGTTCTTTGCTACTCAACACTTTGCTGGGGAGGGATTTCAACTGAAAACTCCACTCTATTTGAACTAGAAGTGGTGGGCAAGGAGACATTGGCTCTCCCAGACCCAAAGGACACAGTCTGCAAAAATTGGGAACAAGAGATAATTCATGATCCATGGCACCTCTAAATCAGGCGAATCCTGGAAGTCCCCAAAGATCATTAGAGATCTCCTTGTCCCATAAGAGGCCTTCAGGCACCTGAACTTGGTGTGCTTGTTAGTGTGTCTGCAAGATCTCTGGTAGAAACCTCTCCTTTGACATGTGTGCAGGTCTCCTTTCTTGCAAACAGGGGATCAGTGCTGAGTTTTCATGTGCTAACAAACACATGGTCATCTTTTGTTCCCTGTCTGGATCCCATGGTGTCTCCTCATGTGGAGCATAAGCCTTTGCCTCGGAGTGGTGGCCACTTTTAGGCAAGCAAGACAATGCCATGCCATTGCCTTCCTGACTCTTACACAGCTCCTGCTCATGTGCTTGTGATGGAAAAGATGCTCTGCACATGGGAAATTCCACAAGAAACACTAAATGTTTGTAAACATTTTAAACCCAACATCTTCCACCCAAATCAACCACTATGTTTAGAGGAATCCCTTCTTATCTCCTTTTTTTCCCCAATGAATTCCAATCTACGTGTACATTTTGGTGGTGGATAGTGCAAGAGAGTGGCTGTGTCACCTCCTTGCCTGCCCCGCAGTCTTCTCCTCTCCAGCACCCTTGCCTGGAGGTTTTCTGCTTGGAGGGAGTCCAGGGCATTGAAGGTTGGTGATGGGAGGGTAAAGATGTTCATATATGGGAAACAGAGACCCTTCTAATCTTACATGAGCTGTCAAAGCAATGGATTGAATCTGGGTTGTATCAGTATCTCAAGTTATCAAGTTATCCCTCAGGAAGGAGGAGATAGCCTGAGGCTTCCCCCATGTCTCTGTTGCAGACCCCAATGCCTTTAATGAGCTTTGAAAAGTTCTGTTAAACAGAAAGACACATATTTCAGTATGGTAATCTCAGAAAAAAGTCAGACATGAGATGCTCATTTGCACTGGAATATCTGCCTGCTCCAAAAGAAGAAGGAATTAAGTAAGTGCTAGATGAACAATCCCACTTTTCAATGCCTGATAGCATTGGAAATTGGAGGTTTGTGGTGGTTTATTGTCTGTTCCTTCATATTTGCTTTCCTAGCACGGGAACCTGTGAATCAGGCTGTTGGATGTAAAACTTAGTTGCTAACACTGTATTGCATATAGACATGTGTCCACGCTCCATTTTTAATTAACTTTATCTTTTCTCACAGTTTTGCAGTCCTGTAAAATTATGTCGATTCCTCACCCTGGAGGAACAGAGTCCATGGTCACCCCTGCCAGGGAAAACAACTTCTGCTACCACTAAAGTCTTAAATCGAGGAATTAGGATAAGGAAATAAGAATTGCATCCTCCATGGTGGGGGAAAGTGTAAAGAATTGTGGTACCACTCCAGTTCAGCTTTATTTAGTGCATTTTTTGCTTTATTTAGTGCATTCGCAGCTTTATTTAGTGCATCAGTGATTTAGGCACTGAAGGATTGAAACCAACCTAGAAAATCATAAATATTACAGCAAGTCTACTAAAAACATCACAGAAATAGGCTGAAATACGTTAACAAGATATATCCCAGTTCAGGGGAACCAAGCAGAACTCCAAAGGCAATGATGACTTAATTAACCAGAGGACTGAAATAATGAATTAGGCTTTCACACTGCTGGATATTTTATTCAAATAAATATTTTAGAAAGGGGAAAGATTTTCAGACAAAGAGACTTTTTAACTGCAGATTTGACTTCCTTGCTCCAGAAAGTGCAAATGATGGGGTTTAACAAGGGAGTCAAAATAGAGAAGACAACATTGCTCATGACCCAGACATCAGTGGGGATATCTGCTCAGTAGGTTGTACACCACAGTGATGGAGGAGCAGTAAGTGCCCACCACAAGCAGATGGGAAGCACATATAGAAAAGGGTTTTGGAGTTTTATCTTTAGTATGGAGGGGATGATGTGGACATACGAGGATGTGACAAGTGCCGGAGAGGCAACTGACACTGTCATAGTGATAGGGAACCCCAAGGTCTGGAAATGGGCACTGAAGTCTGAGCATGTGGCTTGTACAGCTGCCAGGTGGTCACAAAAGCAGTGGTGAACCCTGGGTTTGTGTCTGTAAACTAGAAAAGAGGTCTGAGTAATGGACACAGGTCATAGCAGCACAAGATCCAGGTGCTCACTGCCAGCTGGATGCTCACTCTTCTTGTCACCTTGGCTGGGTAATGGAGGAGGTTGCAGGTGGCAGTGTAATAGTCATAAGCCTTCCAGTACCTAAAGGAGCTCCAAGAGAGCTGGAGACGGACCTGGGACAAGGGCCTGGAGTGACAAAACAAGGGGGAATGGCTTCCCACTGCCAGAGGGCAGGGTTAGATGGGCTATCGGGAAGGAATTCTTTCTGGTGAGGGTGGTGAGGCACTGGCACAGGTGCCCAGAGAAGCTGTGGCTGCCCCATCCCTGGAAGTGTTCCAGGCCAGGTTGGATGGGGCTTGGAGCAACCTGGTCTAGTGGAAGGTGTCCCTGTCCATGGCAGGGGGTTGGAATAAGATGATATTGGAACTTCCTCCTGACCCAAACTATTCTGTGATTCTATGAAATGAGCTAATGTGCAAGAAGACATTTCCCTAAGGAGTTTTGCAGAGGTTCTGCAAGGAAAATACATTTTGGATGAAGTATCACAGCTGAGCATTTTGCAACACACAGCTCAGCCCCTCTTGTCTCTACCTCCAATTAAGATGATTTGGTTTCTCTGCTGGAGATGTGGAGTACATCTGTAGAGGGTATTCTCTTCAGCTTTGGGCACAAAGGTCAAGGATTTGTCCCACCTTGCTTTGGCTGCTCTTCATACAGAGTCCCCCCATATGCACTGGTCATCCAGAATCCCTTTTCTGGTCTGTGGGGAAAAGGCACATTTTGGGGACTTTGCCCCATTCCACACTGAGGAGGAGATAAGCCACATTATGGAAACTCCTGCTTCTCTTCTCCAAGGGTATTTAGGGAATTGGCTCAGAAGCAGTCCATCAGCCCTCACTTGTGCTAGGTTATCACAATCTTTGCTAGCCAAAGCCCTTTCCATCACTGTTTTTTCACACCTAAGCTGTCACTGGTTGGCTACTTGCATCTCACTGCACTTCCCAAGGCTGTTGCAAGGAAGCTCTACAATTTCGGACAAAAATGTAGGATTTCTTTTGATTTCCAGGTCGTTTCCTGGTACATAAAATACCAGTGATAATAATTTTCATTGTAATTTTTTTTGGCTGATGGAGGTCATCATCCTGTCTTTCACCATAGTAAGAAGTATTCTAAGATACCGTAATAAAAAACGAGGAGTAAGTACAAGTTAGTAACTTCATCTCAGATGGAGGAAGACACAAGATGTTGCAACTTACAGCCCTAACAGATCTGATTTTACATAATGTAGCTCTACAGTTGCATTATTCATATAAACTTGTGAGACTTCTTGGATTTCTCCAGGAAGGGTAAGTCAGAGTATGCCATACTTTCCCATTTATTTTACATTATGAGCTTTTAAGATACTTGAGGTACAAAGATTTTCTTCTCTCTCGATAGAAAGACTTCCTTTGTTGCTCATAAAGATTTAATGCAGATTGGAAAGGACTATTCTGCTTAAACCCTATGGAATATACTTATTTGCTATGGAAATATAAAGCAGCATTTTGGAAACTTCCAACAACTTCCATTCAAGCCACAAAACAGTTGCTGCCCTTTCATGGGCTCAAATTCCTTGGGAATTTATCTATTTCATCTAACATTGGATAAATCAAAGCTAAGATAATGTTCAGAAGAAAGAGAATACCCTTGTTTTCATTAGGTTTAGGCTAAAAAAAGCAGAAGAAATGAAGCTTAATTAAGTTTTTATGCCTTTTCTTGGTTTCCTTATCCCAATTTAAGGGAGGGGAAATAAAGCTCACTTGGAAATGTTCTGTGCATGGCCACAAGTAGTTTAGAGTAATGGTTGGTCTCATGCAATTTCCGAACTTTATTAAATCTCTGGTAATTTTCAGATAGTTTTACCTTTCACCCAGACTCCATAACCATATAGGAGAGATCCATTTAATATTACAAATAAATAAGATTTTCTGCCACCCTGAGATTCAAATACAATTGATATTTTGTTTACTCTCTACCTCTCATCTAATCTAACTTTCTCCATTTCTCATTCTTGTTATTTTTTCCAAACTGATACGCTTTGAAGATGTAATTTGTATAAACAATGCCACACTCTTAAAAACCCCAAGATAATTTATTGTACCCAAATAAAACTGCCAGCATGTAATCTTCAAATTAGCATTGATTTGAACTGGTTTTCCGACATAGCAGATCAAGTTCTCATCCCTTGGAGCCTGTTGACATGGATTGTAATCATATTTTGACATCCTGGACCCCAATAGAAAAAAAGTAAATCAAAAAGAACCACTTAATTAGTTTGAAAAAAAATTTCCTATTAACAGAATAGTTGCAACAATAACTCACTTGTACTTTGGAGTTTTAACAAGGTTTTCCCCTTCCTCAGTGGGAAGTGAGTAACTCCTGCAGTAAATCAACGAGCAAAGCTACTACTGATATTGATCATATCTGAGCAATCTGGTCTGCTCCCCAGAGAGGCTCTCCATGAGGGCTTTTTTTTTGCTTAAGCCAGGAGACTCAGGTTATTCTCCTGACAGAGCATCTCAACGGTTCTGAATACCCAATGGTGATGGTACAACAGGTTCACAGCAACAAGAGCAGCAAAGGAGGAGTTTTAACCACCCAATATTTGTCATGTGCTGGGAGTGGGCTGTGGTGTTGAGGCTGCTGGAGAAACTCTGGAGGAAGACTGGTCTTTTGTTCCACCTGGTGTCTTTGGAATAAACCTGCCCTCTGTCAGCATGAAGCCATTCCCCCTTATCCTTGTCACTCCAAGTCCCTCTCCAACGCTCTTGGAGCCCCTTTAGGCACTGGCAAGAGCTCTCAGGTCTCCCCAGAGCCTTCTCTTCTCCAGGCCAAACACCCCAGCTCTCCCAGCCTGGCTCCAGAGCAGAGGTGCTCCAGCCCTTGGAACATCTTTGTGACCTCCTCTAGACCTGCTCCAATAGGTCCACATCCTTCTGATGCTGTAGCCAGGTGTGGGTCAGTCTTTTCTACCAGGTAACAAGCAACAGAACAAGAGGAAAGAGCCTTGAGTTGCACCAAGGAAGCTTCAGGTTAGATATTAGGGGAAAATTCTTCATAGAAAGGGTTGTCGAGCCCTGGCCCAGGCTGCCCATGGCAGTGGTGGAGTCCCCATCCCTGGAGGGATTTATTAGATGGGTGGATGTGGCACTTGGGGACATGGTTTAGCCATGGCTTTGGCAGTGCTGGGGGAATGGTTGGACTCTGATCTCTGAGGGATTTTCCAACCCAAACGATTCTGTGATTTTATGATCCTGTGATTTTTTAACATGCACCTGCTGGAGCAATTTCCCACTTGAATTTCTGATTGCATCCGATTGGACATGGTGGCCCTCATGGCAGAGTCCCTGAATGCTCATGCTAAAAATTCTCCCTGCAAACATTCAGGGGAAGTTGGATTTCCGAACATGCTTGTTTTGAAATACTAATTCTTAACACTCTGGTGGCAGCACCAGTAAAAACAGCACAAATTGGTCTCTCAGTGACTTGGAGATCTTTGGAGTTTTAGGAATGTTTTTCAGAATAATTAATATCCAGGGACAGCACAATCAGGGCTTGCACAACTGGTGCTGGAGTGTGCTGAAGCCTCAGGGAGCCTGAGCATCAGATGGCTTGGGTCCCAGAGAGTAGGCAGTAGGAGTCTGAAAGGGATTAAATCCTTTGAAATGGATTTTATTTGGCAGCTCTGACATGTTAAGAAGCTCCAGGGCGCTTGGTCTCTGGAGAGAGGTTACACTTTGGGCTGATCTGCAGATGTGGGGTGTCATCCTGGAGCCACCTTTTGGCCTCCTGGAAGTAAACTCATGAACACCACTGTGCTCAGTGAATGTCCCTGAGTACAACAAGGGTTTTCATTCTCCTAATTAATGACATTCTGGGAAATAGTTTCATTTTCATATAGATGCTAGAGTTAAAGAAAAAGCATTCAGTGAAGCACTAATTTATGTTAAAAAATCCTCACATTGATACTGTCTGAAATAACTTTTATTCCATTTTTAAAGAAAGAAAACTACAATAACATCTGCATGTCTGTTTTTAACCATTTACAGAATCACAAAATCATAGAATCACAGAATGATACGGGTTAGAAGGGACTGTTAAAAGTCATCTAGTCCAACTCCCTGCACTAAGCAGGTCCATCTTCCACTACACCAGATTGCTCAGGCCCCCATCCTCTCCTCCAGTAGGTACCTTAACTTGTTTTGGAGAGCATCCCCTGCCCCCCTTTGGGGGCCTTCAAATATTAGCTCTGTGTTCACCTTGTCTCTATCCCCTCCAGCCTGCTCCCTCCCCAGGCTGGGTGTGATCCCATACAGGAGGAAACCAAATGCCTAGGGAATAATGATCCCAGCTTGCCCCAATTTAAAAGATTATTGACCGCACTACTGATTTTGAATTTCACAAGTTCTGAGTAGCAAAATGCTCCTTTCTCTTTATGGAGATAAAACACTGGATGTCATTCTTCAGCTGCCCTATTTTGCCAGGTGGGTACAATTGGCTCTTCATAAAATAGCAGAATAAGGGCAGATGAACAAATGGATATACTATGAACATGGTGAGTGACACAGCTGGATCTGTATTTGGAGGCCATAGAAATGCAATTCCCGACAGCATGTGAATTTTACATAAATTGTCCCCAGAGCTCAAGTCACGAAAACAAGAACAGAGAAGGGTTTGGGGTCAGGGGACAATGGTACCTGCCTTGTCCCGTCGTCCCTGTGTTTTTCTTGTGCACCAGGCACTTGCCATACTGTTACAAAGGGTGAAGGACTTCCTGGCTCATACAAATCTGTGAGCAGCAGGAACCCAGAACTGCTGTGTGCTGTGCGTTTTGGTTT